CCCCGGCCAGCGGCCCCCTCCCCCGCGGCCTGCTCAGGCTCCTGCAGCCGAGCTCCCGCAGCCTGTGCCCATCCCCCTCCACCCAGCAACCCAGCAGCCTGGCCTGTCACCGCAGATTAATGGTCTCCCCGACACCCCGCCCGGCCGGTCCAGTGCCTCACCAGCCAGAGTCAGACAGAGACACCCAGAGATGGAGAGACTGCCAGCGACTGGCAGGAACACACACGCATGCCGACACAGAGGCGCACACACACTGGCCCACCACAACACGGCCAGAAACAGGAGCAGGGCAGATGCCAGGGGCTCAGGTGGGAACCGAGAGAGAGAGGCAAGGGAGGAGGAGGAAGAAGGGTAGCCAGTCAGATAAGGGCCTGGGGTGAGGGGGAATGTTCTGGAGTCAAGGCCAATGGGCTGGAGACCTGGCAGACACCCAGAGAGCCAAGCAGTGGAAGCAAGGCCAGGAGGCCGGCCAGGGGAGCAGGCAGCTCCATCTCAGCTCCATCTCAACTAACTCAGGCAGCTGCTGTGGAAGGGGCAGGTGTCTCCACTGTCCCAAGCCTCTCACTCACTGCAGAGATCTTCACTCCTGACCCACCAACCCCATCCCCCAAGGCCAGGATGTGAAGGAGCTGGGGTAGACAGGGACCCTGGAGGAGCTGTTGGTCATCTTGCTGACAAGTGGGCTCCAAGTCCAGGAGGAAACAGACAGACAGCTCGACTGGCCCTGCCACAAGGGGGCGTTGGCCAATGCCCCCAAAGGTTGGAGATCTTCTAGGCCCCAATTCAACGACCTGGTCCCTCCATATCTGTGCACTCCCCGCCATCCCTCCCCCTCCCCTCCCCACTTGAGAAGGAAACCTTTTGCTCTCACGCGCTAGGGACATGGTTGGGCACCTGCAGGCCATCCTGGTCATCCCAGCTACCAGGTACCTACCTATTCTCTGCCTGGCTCGGCACCTTGGCCTGGAAGAATCAGGACCCTCCTAACCTTGACATCTGTGGCCGCTTCTAATGTGAAGCATCCTTCTGTTGGCTTGCCCCACAACCCGGTGCCTCCCTCACACACCACCCTGTGACCAGGCCCTTCATGGCACTGAGGCTGCCTTTCTCCTCCTGTCCCTCTCATGTCCCCGGCCTCAACTGCCCAGTCCTTACCCTGTGCCCTCCAGGCACACATCCCATCCCATTCACCCATCTTCTGACCTGCCCTTCCCCAGCCTCCTCCCCTTCCCTCCCCCAGCTCCCTTTCTCCGGAATGGTCTTCTCTCAGACCATTCCCTCCTCCAGCCCATCTCTGGAACCCCTCCCCCAGTCCAGCCCTGTCCACCTTAAGAGCCTCTTGCTGACTGACCCCCTCCACCGCCACCTCTGGACCTCAGCTGCCTCCCCACCCTCCCCTCCAAGTCCCTCCAAGGCAAGGGGAGAGCCGGGCTGCCAGGTGCCTACCTGGGTGACCTTCTCCGTGACATTGTGGGTCCGCTCCTTTATCTTGGGTGCTATGATCTCCCGGTCGCTGGTGGGCGAAGCCAAGAAGGGGTCGCCCTTGAGGTCCACAAAGTTGAGGGTGATTTGGGGAATCTTGCTAATGGTGCGGTAGCGCACGAGGTCCGAGTCTGAGGTGGAGTTAAGCAGGCCGCTGCGCAGGGGGTGCATGGCCCCTGGGGTGGAGAGGCAAAGCGGGGTCAGGTCGGCAGGCCAGGGGCCTAAGGACAGGCAGGCCATCGGCAAAAAGAGCTAGAGTGGAGACCAGGCCCTGCACAGGCCAGGGCCATAGGGCACAGTGAGTCGATGAGCTCAGGAGAGGAGGGGCAGTCCCAGAGAAACAAGCCAGGCCAGACCCCCTCCCCCACTCTAAGGAAGCACACGAGAGGCAACTATGGGACCACGAAGGAGAAAGAGGACACCGGGACCCTGCCAGAGAGCCAGGTGGTGTCAGAAGTCCCTGTGCCCTTCAGGGTCCCCAGGCCCAACGCTGTTGCCAGAGTCCTGGGACAGCCAGCTCCATGGGCCAGCCAGGACTTCGTGAATGGAAGAATGTAATGGGATGAATGGACATTTAATAGCATAAAAGGCCACTTAATGGAATTAAATAAGGGCTTAATGGGATTTCCATCTCCCAGGCACCCAGGACGTGGCGGAAAGATCTGAAGCGGAGGGCCTGGGACGGGGTGGGCCTGGCGGGTGGGAAGCGGGGCAGGGGCGGGACAGGTCCTGAGGCGCGGGCGGG